CAAAATCATAACTTCTTTTGAAACTTTAAGGCGAGGGGGGATTAACTGATATGCTAAGCGAGATTATCATATTTCGCCAAAAGGTTAAATGTTTTTTCACAGACACTTGAGGAATTCAAAGTAATGCATTTTAAGTCCTATGTGTCTATTATCAAATAGATTTCATTGGAAGAATTCGAAAATACTCAATCCGTTTCATAATATCATCTTAATAAACTAATTCCAATTTTCGTTTCCAATTTAAGATAAACATCTTGTCGTGTTTGTACTTAGCATCCAATAGGGATAGTAATTGACCTTTTAGTGCACCCTTCTCCTTCCCGTGTGGTAATGCTCGTAATAAGAAATGCAGATTTTTCGCAAGGCCAAAGGCTCCAGTTGTACATAAAGAGTGACCAGTTGCGATAGTATCACTCAAAGTTTCTTACTGTGTGTAAATCAACAAAAAAAGTTCACTCTTTAAGAAAGTCTACAGCGAAATATAGGTACATGACATATGTCCTCAAATTTTACATGTTCGAAATTACTCCAAAATCTATTTAAAAAAGGTACTGTAGCAGCATTGAGATGATTCCCATAATTAGGTTTGCACTGGAATTAGCTTCTAATCAAATTTAAGCTTAAAGTACGCGTCTCAACTAAAGAAGTCGCAGCTAAATCATATCCTCATGGAACTTCCTATAATTAGCTTATTTTGACTGACTAAGTAATTAGCTCATGCGAGGTTACAATTGAGCTTGCGGCTTTTTCGAATGACTTTTATTTGTGAGCATCTGCCCGTAATAATTGTTTGGAATTGTAAAAGTAACTTGTGATACGTACATATAACGGCAATGGCGAGATTCAGATACTCTCAGAGGTGATACTGATACTTTTAATAGCAAAGGAGTTTTTAGACATTAATAAATTCTTTCAATGCTTGTTTTGAAGAAAGGGATCAAAAACGAGCTCTCCTTTTATCAAATCTCGCCGACAGCACAAAGCATTTACAAAGTACAACTTGAAAGTCACAATCAATCATTCGTATCGCTTGGCATGAAACGCGATTAAAGTCCGATAGAGAGACAGGATAGGGAAATTGATGTTGATTTTCTTGATACAAAGTTAGGAGAGAAAACGAGCGAGCCTTTCTACTTTGAAATTTTAGATGGTAGTCAATGGAAAAAATAAGCAATCGAGTGTAATAAAGTGTTCTTTAAACAATCTTTATTCAGTTTTTTAGCCTCCTTTTATTTTAGACGCTTCTTTGGAGAACATTTCGTGGACTAGAATCAGGAGAACTTTCACGAAAATATGAACAAGATATTAATTTTGAAAAAAAGACATTTTATTTGATGCGTCTTACAAAGCTTCTATTGTAATGAATAAATTGCGCAACTGTCCGCCTTGCTAAGGATTTAATTTCTACAAGAAAGTAGAAAGGCATTAGAAAGGTGGACTCGGCCTAAAATTAGAATATAATAAAACATAAGTTTTTTTTTTTCAA